TCTCCTATGAGCATTTGTACGATGAGGAAGCACCTAATGTCCCCTCAGGTCTTTTGTCACCTCTCTCACAGCAGATTGCCCCTAGGTAGCCTTTGTAACTGTTTGTGATACTTGCTTTCTTGGTTGCTTGCAAACTGAAGAATATAAAGCATAGGTGTATCCTGGAAAGAGCTAGGAATAAAAAGCGCCTCCATCCTTAGCAAATGCTGTCCCTGGTTATATTCACTTTGCATACAAATAAACAAAAAAGTAATATTTTATAAGGAATCCAGTGGATAGAATAATGGACTGTAACTCAGCAGAGCTCAGTTCGCAGCTCTGCCGTTGGCTTATTGGGCAAAGTCATTTGTGTCATCACCATACAGTCTGGGATAAAGAAAATTTCTTCTTAATGCAGTAAGAGCCTTGAAAAGGAAAATATTATGCAGAGGGAATAATAATAAAATTTTGCTAACAATAATAAAATTATGTGTTTTATATCTATGGTTATATTGTGCACAGTGAAACGAACTGTATTCTCTTCTGCCTCATGTTTCATCAGTGGTGCTTTGAACTGGTTTCCATTTGAAGGGTTACATGTATTAGTGTACTAATTTTAGATGTGCCTTCAGATACAGGTGTGATTTTACCCTGAAAGTGATAACATTTCATTGTAGTAACACTGGACAGCATTTCCTACATCTTCATTTTTGTTGATAAGCCACAAAGGACTTAGGGCTAAGTTTAAATACCTACCACTTAGGGTGGTGCTGGGGAGGGGTCTTTTTTATTTGTGAACTGGCTAAATCAATGTCTTACACCGACTCTTGGGCTGTAGGTAAGCTGTGTATGATTCCCTGAAGGTAATTTGCATAAACTGATTCATGTCTGCATTTGCTCTTTAAATCTTCTCTGCCTGTCTGGGTGACAAAGAAGCATTTATTTTGCCTTATTTTATGCAATGTAAATAATAGATACATTGAGGATAGATCCTGAATACCTCAGCTGGTGAGCACCCGTGTAGCTCTGGAGTAAGCAGGGTTGCATCAGCTGAGGATCTACCCCACCATCAGTTCTAAGTGCCAGCCTTGCAGTGCATTATACAAATGTTCACCGTAGTTTGTCAGCAACAAAGCTGTCACCCAACAGTACACACTGCCTTCTATCAGCCATTACTTTTCTGTCATCATCATCAAGTGCAGCTTAAGAGAATCTGTGCATCGTTTCTTTCCTTCTGAACAATTTCCATAGAAATAATTGACCTGCTTTTATGGTAATTTGGTCTCTGCTGTTTGTTACTGCAGCATTTCCCAAGGAAAAATGCAAAACTAATGCCCTAGAACAAAAACATTCAGCCAAATTACTTACCAGTAATCCAAGGAATCATGGATAAATCCATTGCTCAAGTGGCTTCTCATTTGGAACTTTATATAGTTTTCACCCAAGGGTTAAGGGGTTTTTTTGTTTTGTTTTTGTGGGGTTTTTTTTGTTGGGTTTTTTGGGGGGTTTATTTTGGTTTTTTGGGTTTTTTTTTGTGGGTGGAGAGGTTATTTTATTTTTGAAAGGTACTACTCATGCTCTCTGCCTTACAGCAACTATATATAAATCTCTTCTGAAAACTGTATCTGCCAGCACTGTCACTCCATCCCCAAGCTTTTACTACAACACCAGATAAAAACATTTAAAGGGACTGTTTCCACTGGTTTGGTGCATTTAATTTCATGTTTCTTTCTCTTCCTTTTTTCATTTTTCAAGAAAAGTCAATAAGAGAGGTCATTTAAGCCTAGTGTTTTGAAGTGGCAACCAGTAAACAGCCTTACAGCATGATTAATGAGTACTCAGGAGCAGTTTCCTGAAACTCACAAGAAACTTGAGGCCAAATGAATTTATTTTAAAGTAAATGAAGATATTCCAGTTATGGACTGGGACTTTCACTGAGTCACTGTGTAGGCTACATTTTCTACCAGTTTCTACCACTGGCTGATGGTGCTAGTGTCAAGGTGTTACACAGTCACAGGGAAGTATAACCTAGCATAGAAGTGACATTCAGAATTTGGAATTCAACAAGTTAATAAAGTGCTTAATTTCCATTTAAGAGCAGGAAATTGTGATCAAGGCATTTGATGAGAATCATGAAGTCTTAAAAAGGATAATTGGTATCATAAAAATGAAAACAAATGTTGTTTGATTCTACCCAATATTTTTCTTGATTTCTTTGACTTCCTACAAGCTTGGGTTTCTGGGCTGCTATTGCTTTTTTCAGTGGAAAGGTGCAGCTAAGGGAAAGCATCATAGACACTCTGCTGGTTTAAGCAGGGTCATTCCTTGGAAGGCTTTTGGCTTTGATAAGTGAGCACATTCTGAATTTCTCTGCTTTCATTTATAAGTTTGTTGAGCAGATGGATTCCCATGGCTGACAGAGCCAGCACCTCAGAGGATGACACAGCTCACAGGGGAAGACATCAGCTCTCTTGACCTCTTGAAAGTGGGAGCAGTCTGTGGAGCAATGGAAGCACTGGATGGAAGCACAAATTGAATATTTTCATTGCTGCCTAAACCTTAGGGAAGTTCCATAGCCAAACTTTGTGTGCTCACACTGAGTACAGAAGCATCTTCCACACAGTGAGTGACAGGGCTGGAGTGAGTGTGTTCATGGAGCTCCTGTGCAAGCACTGATTGCACTGTGAGGTCCTGCTGCAGTGAGCAAGGGGTTTACTCACCTTCCCAACCCAGTGCTTTGGTCACCAAGGTTTTTCATTATTTATGGTGCTCCAGGACTGCTGTGAGTGAAAAAGGATTGAGTATTTTCAGTTGATTGAGTATTTTTCAGCTCTGAGCTGTGTGCTCTCCTTCTCTGTATGTGTGTTGGGTTGGAGGAAGGATTTATGTTCTTGAAATGTTTTACAGGTGGTCCATTGAATATTTCACTCTGGTGCTGTTTATTTGGAGGTAGCTTCAATTAGTAAATTGAGACTAAATTACCTAGTAGTAGATGATTCTTACATAAAATGAAGTGTTGAGCTAAATCTAGATTTTTTTTTGAAAAATACGTGATTACTTTTGCTCTTGGCATAGAGATGAAGATTGGCAGTGATCCCTGTAGGATGTGGATTTCTGACATGGGTGAGGCTGGGTGGAACATCTATGTAATTCTGCTTGTCTGATGAAGGATGAGATGAGTATTATGAGCTAAGATAGTATTATATTTTCTTTTTTTTTTTTTTTCAAAAATAAACTATACAGTGTGGTTAATCCTGCCCTATTAACTTCTGTCAAAGAGTGAAGGCTTTAAGAATAAATTTTGATGGAAGCTATTAAGGGTGACAAAAATTTCTTTATATGAAAGGAAGTGTAGTGCAATCTAGCTGCAGAGTTCAGAACATTTCGAATTCTGTGGTTATTGTAGAATAATACCACAGTCAATTATATTTCTTATTTTGCATTTTTCTTTGTCTCTTTCTCACACAAGCCTAGACTATGAATTCATAATGTTAATGAAATGTGTTGTGATGTTCCTGTAGGCTGCTGTGGGAAAATAATTACAACATGAGGAAGGTCATGATGTGGCCCTGTCTCTAATGTAGGACCTTGTGATTGATTAGGACATAAGCAAAATGGACTACAATAACTTGAAAAAACCTTCAAAACCCCTGGCAGATCAACCTAGAGTCACTGCAAGAATCAGCTTTCACAGCTGATCTTTCTGTGAGAAGTTTTAGTTATTTGTACTTGAGGCCTTTAGTGTCCCAAAACCTATTTTTTGGTGCTGTGCCCGTGACAACTTCGTGTCCTCTCCTTCTCCAACCATGTAACTAAAGCATGAGTGTTCTCATGAACAAAGGGGCTGGCTGACAGCGTGCCATCTCCTCCACATGTGTCCTGCTCAACACTGATGCCAAGGCTGGTCTTAAAATCCAGATTTATGGCTGCTGCCAAGTTTGGGGGTTTTGTTTTTTCTTCTCATTCAAACCTAGACTAAATGCAGAAACCTTTTAAGTTTCTTCTCTATTGCTATTCACAGTTCTCTTTGTGACTGCTGGAGAAAGAAATGTACACAGCTACTTAAGAAATATATGTAGACAGGAAAGTTCTTTAAAAGAGCACAAAAACCAGTGCAAGTATGTCTGTTGCTTCTTCAGTCACATGCTACACTTTAAACAGCCAGCATGTTTTCTTCCACAAAAAGACCTTTATATTTCAGAACTTTCAGAAGCCTTTATCAATATAAATAACAGTTTGAGCATGATGACATCATATTCAGTCCTAGAGTTGTGCATCTCAGCTGCTTAGTCATTTAAATCTCTGGAAATAAGCATAGCAGTTAGAAGTTTCAAAAGGTCAAAGAAGCTACTGTCTTTTCAGCTTTGAATCAGCTGAGAGACTCCAGTTTCTGGGAAACATAATGCCAGGGCTGCATCTCGGCATCTCATTTCCTCCCTCCACCTCCTTTGAAGCACTACAGTAATTGGCTTAAAAGGAAAATCACACCACACTCAGTAGCACAATCAAGTTCCTTTCTATTTTCTTTCTTGAAACTAAAGAGGAGTTTTAGCCCACATTGTGTCCTGAAATATTTCACTGAAGCACTCTTACCAAAATGCCAAAAAGCTGTTCACAGGTATTCAGTAAAATTAATACTTTTCAGTACAAATATGACAAGTTCTTTTACCATTTTCTCAAAAGGAAAATAAGTGATAAAGTGTTCCTCAGAGAACAATTTGTGAGAAAAATTAAAACAAAAATAAAAGCAAAAGACATTTTAAAGCTTTGTTTTAAATGTGATTTGTCGTCTTTATAAAAGTGGCGGCATGATTTCTGGGAGGAAGCCACCTCTTACCTCTGTCTGCCATGGATTTTTTTTTTTTTTTACTTTTTAAAAATGTCAGATGCATTGTTTAATTGAAAGGTTCTGATAAGAACCTGCGCTACATTATCTGTGCAGCAGGACTCTGCAGCCTTTGGGCAGCTGCTTCTTACGTGCTTTTACAAATGATTCTCTGTTTTCTTTCCCTGTATTCTAGCTGCCGTTCTGCTGCTGACATGAAACTGCCCAGGCAGGTTGTCCAGCGTTTCCATTTCATGGTGTACACGGCCTTTTCAGAGCTGGGAGCCACACGCTGGCGCTCCAGGGATTTCTGGCTGCTCTCACTGCTGGTAGTTTTGCTTTGGTTCCTGAGACTTTACCTGCATTATTTGAGCCAGTGGCTCTTCCTTCAGACCATCTCAGTTCCTGTTGAAAAGTAAGTCCTGCTACCCTCTTTTCTCTGTAAGGATATTTCTCCAGATAGCTTGATTCAAAGCAGATCCTTTGCACTATGAAGAGAATTGATGGCCAAGACTCATGCTGAGAGCTCAACATGCAAGGTCTGGTAGGAGTCCCTGCAAATACCAAAAGAACCAGGACTGCATCCAGAGTCCAGTGATCTCATATGCAAATGTGCATGTCAGATGGAGTTAGTAATGTAAACTTTAAACCCAGAACATGATGTGTCCATTTGTGCATCTTGTGTCATGTCTACCTCTCTCCCATCTGAGATACTCAGCAGGTTATGTATCTTCCAGAAGAATAATTTATCACTTTGGATAAAATATTTCAAAATGCCTAAGGAGTGCACAAAACTGAAGAAGCATTTAAATCATATTTAATGCTACCAAAGTGATCTATGAGTAAAATACTTGTAAGAATTTAACTTTGATATATCGGTTTTACTGTGAGTACTGCAATGAGTTGACATATTTTAACTATATAATACATTGACTTTAGCTTAGGAATTAGACCTCTCTAGAGTGTTGCAGGAAAATCATTGCTTGTCATTATCTGATATAAAAAACCCAAAGATGGAGTACAAATCCACTAGGTGATATATATACACCTGACCCTTCATGTTTCTGAGTGGTAGAGAAGAGTTTTGCAGAGCAAAAAAGATTCCCTCATGCTTAGGAAAGGAAATATTTCTCCAAGAGAAACCTTCTTTTTATTTTATTCACCTTAAACACCACACAAACTGAATCAATCAGTATGAGCCAGTAATATGCAACTCTCTGACCTATGTCTGGTGTGGTAGTGGTATTGATTACTGGCTGAAATTTGAACACCATGTATGAGCAGACTCTGGACAGTGCTGGGTACTGTTAAGGTGTTCTTCTAGATCTTAATGTAAAGCCAGCCATTTCTCACTTCTGGCCTTGCACAGCTTCTGTCAACTTAGCCAGCTGGCACTAAAACTTCTGGGAGGCCAAGCATCAAGAGTCTGGGAAAACAAAGGAAACTCAACAGAAGGAAGCAATGCATGAGAGAGTGGTGGTCATGTTCAAAGCCACCAGTCACAGCTGTCCCTGCAGTCTAGCAGTCAGCTAGATAAAGGATAATGGTCTCAGGCCAAAATGCCCTGGATCAGCATCCCAGTCTGTAAATGTGTGCCTGAACAATGAAACTGAGCTGAGCACTCTCTAGTCCTACCAAATGTAGTTGGTAGCACTCACAAGTAGGGAACAGAGTGAGAATCAAACCACTTCACCTTTATTTAGGAGCAGAATTTCAGCCATTTCAATAGGATTGAAATTTTTGCCTCAAATTTCATCATCTGTGTGTAGCTCACAATGCCATGCTGTTCCTGTCTCTTACAATGCCAGAAAACTTGCTCATGGTATGAGCTTTGCAAATCCCCCCATCTCATGGTGGCGAGAAGGACATTTACAATCACTTTAGCTGTTGAAGTGCTAGCAGTATGTCTTCCATAGCACATTTTCTGCTTTGTGCAGTGACCAAAGGTGCTGCTGTGTAGAGATGGGTGAGCTCCTGGGTCCTGTGCTCATATTGGTGTGTTCAGCCTTTCTTGAGCAATCCCTAGAGCCTGGATGTGTACCCAGTGAACTGAGAGTCAGAGGGAATCCAAGGATGCAGAGACAGGAGGAGGAGAAAATTTTTTTTTTTTTTCTGACTAGCCTCATACAGTTTTTGATCAGTGTTGTGACCCAGATAGGGATGCAACTTTACAATGCAACATGCATGATTCTACCTTATTTCAATGTTTTGCTCAGGAGCACAGAAAAAATGCTCTCCTTTTGCTTGTTTACAGATTCCAGCTCTTCCCTCACACTGTGGAACTGTGCTACCAGAACTCCTTGCTGCACACCAGTGAAGAGTTGGCCATGGTTGTGGTGGGACCCCTAACCTTGAACGCAGGGCTGCTTCTCATGGTCCTGGTCAGATGGGGCTGTCAGCAGCTGTTTGATTCATTCCCTTCCTTCTTGTCAAAGTTTATCATAGCTATGGGACTATGGACAGTGCTAGACCCCTTGGCAGTGTTTGTAGTGGATTCATTCCTGGGGGTGAGTCACTTAAAATAACTTGGACATGAGAACTTGACGTAGAAGTTTGTTTTATTCAGTGAATCACTGAAAGATATGAAATTCCACCCCTGGCAATGGAACATGAAAGTTAAAAAGAAATTAAATAATAATGTTATACATTACCTTTTTATTAACAAAATTCCCATCTAATGGAGTCACTGTGTTTCTGCATAAAATTAAGAGTACTGTACAAGCCATATTTGGAGATAAGAAAGTAAATTCACTGCTGGAGTGATTGCATCTGCTTTGAAAAGAATTACTGCAATTTTGGATGTTAATGGGGATGTTTAATGAGCAAGCCTGATTATTAACGCTTCAGATTTTTCTAAGCATTGAAACAGACAAAATGAATAAAAATAGGGGTTATCTTGCACTTCTCTGACATGCAAGGTAGTTAATGTAATTTACTGGCACACCTAAAAAGACTTGTGAGATCGAGAGACAGACATCTCTTGGGAGAGAGTTTCATCATATGTAAAAGCAGGAGAGCAAAGTTCCCAACTCTGTCTGTGCCTGAGTGTGGGCTGTGTAGCCCAGCTGTACTTGGGTGGCTGCAGACTTTTATCACATCTGAGATAATGCCCAATGTCCCAGAACACACGTTTCAAATTTAGGTCTCACTGTGTATGTGACACAGGCTCCTTTCAATGGCTGCAGGATGCTGAGAGCTTTTCTGGGGTTGTGGAATTTCTCCTCTTCTGCCCTTGCTGGTCTTTCAAAGTCATCTACGTTTCTGTTGTTCACTCCAGATCAAGCACTAATCCACAGGTCGTGTTGTGGATCAGGTTTTCTCAGGTCTCTTGGTTCTTCGTCACCTAACCTGTGCTCTGCAGGCCATTTTTCACTCTTTACACATTGTTTTCCATTTCATTAGTTTTGAAAATAAAAATTGAGCTCTTCAAGAAATTTAGTTGGAACTCACTTGAGAGGTAATTGCAATACTTTTAGCATGTGCAACACTCCCTAGTTTTCGCTTGGACAGCCTGCATTTATTCATTTATTTTAAAATTTAATTATGTAAAATATGCACAGAATTGAATTTTAGTTGTAATTATTTGGATTAAGATTTTTTCCTAAAAGAAAAAGGTGTATTTCCTCAATAACCAGGGTAAAAATACTGAAATGTTTAAATGGATTTTTTTCTCCCCTCTAATACTGGTGTATTCATAAAAACTGGAAGAGAGGATGAGGTCTGCATTATCTTTCCCGCACTTGCATTGAGAAAATCGTTGTCATTGACTTCAGTGGAACTGTGCTCAGTTCTACACAGACTGGATTATTTATCAATTTCAAATAGCACTTGGTCAGGGGGAAACGTGAGATACAAGTAAAACAACTTAGATTTTCATAAAGTGTTAAAAAATATACACACTTCTCTGTACTTCATATTGAAAATTTGGCAGTCTTACCCACCAAGATTATCTTTGGTAGAAACTCATTTGTTCAAATATTACACAATATACTGTATGTATCCTTTCCAAAATGAAACTATATCTCCTACATGTGTTTTCATTATTGCATTTGTAATTTTTTTTTCTCTTGGCATTCTTTCAGCAGCTATTTCAGATTTGCTTGCCAATCTATTTTAGATCAAGCCTTTTAAAAATATTGTGTTGTGGTAATGAGTTATTTCAGTGCTAGAATGTATTTTAGTATTCAAAATGGTCTTAATACTTATGAAAGATGACAGATAGCCCTGGAGACAAAGGTTTCTGTGTTTATTAACTAATGTTTTTTATTGTTAAGGAAAGGCTAGAAAGCAGTTTCATATTTGCGGGGGGGTTCAAGTCATAGTTCAAAATGCTGTGTCAAATGTGTTATTTCAGATTTGATTTACTGTCAGCTTGTAGAAGGATGTTCCAGGGATAAGAAACATTCCTATACGGTTCAAGTTCCAGTTCTGTCAGAGCTCTCCTGGGACCTCACTCGCTTTGTCTGTCTGTGGCTTCCAAAATGCAGAAAACAATAACACCTCTTTGGCCGCATGGATGCATGTCATTATGAAAAACAGGGGACACAAAAGGCTCACATGACTACTACATGTAGTGGTGTGATAAGTACCTGAGAGAGATGTTGAAAAATGTTATTTAAGGTATTTAAAATTAAGACACCTTTCTTGGATCATGTCTTTGAGGACCACAGAAGGTACACAGATTGACAGAGTACCTTTGTTGGAAAAAAAACATAGAAAAGTAAAGTTCTCCCACAGCACTTTTACTTTGCCAGAGAGAATTGCTTGGATAAGAGAGAAATTTATTCTTATTTGCCATTCAGACTTTTGCCTCTCTGGAGGAATGTCAGGACGTGACTGCTGTGCAGAGGATTTTCCTTGGTAGACAGTTGCTTCAGTAAGAAAGCAGTGGCAGCAGCCACATTTTTTTTAGCTCTTTTTTTTTCTCAAGAAGAGAAGATGGGACAGGGAGATAGAAGACAACCAGAGTATTTATTTCTTTTTGTAATAAATATGGATAAATCAGAATTAATGACTAGTCTTTATATGTCATTACCAGTCTCCTGGGACCTTCAATTTCCATGACAGAAACCTAGCAGCACTGCAAATGGTGGAGAACAAAAATGTACACAAGAATCACAGTCCTTCTATAGCTGGACTTGTAGCTGTCATTCCTTTACTATGCACATTGCAAAGGTAGCCAGAAATGTGCAGAAAGTTTTATTGCTTCCTAAGGGTTAATCTAGGCAAGTTGCTCAGAAAGGTGCAGGTTTCTTGGAGCATAAAGGTCACAGATCCTCTCTGAATGATGGGACACTGGATGCTTTGGTTGTGCAGTTTCACGTCCTTGCAAAGTGTGTCAACACGACCTAATATGAATACGGCTGTCATCGTGTGACTTTAAAAAGGCAAAAGTGGAGAGAGGAATTTATTTTAGTTCTGAGCAGTAGAAGACCCATAATATGCAGTTGAATTCTTCTAAATTGATCCAGCAGAGGGCAATAATATGTCAATACAGTAGCTAGTTCTTAAGAACTAGATATGAGGAAAATAAGATAAAAAAGGAAAAGAATGGATTTTCGGAAAATAAATAACTCAATATTATGCCTCCTTGGTCATTGCATAAAGGCAAATTTCAGCCTTCTTCCTCTGCCACTTGTCCTGAAATACACTAAGAGATTTCACTCCAAGTATTTTCACTGTGATATGGGTTTTGTTCTACAAGCCACCTCTATACAGTAGATTTTAATTGTACTAAAATAAGCCAGAAAATAGTTTATTTCACATCTAGTGCTTAATTTCAAATTCTGTCCAGCAGACTCCTAAGTTTCTGACTGTGTGCCCTACAAATTACATTTAAATCCTTATTATACAGAGATTCACGTTCTTTCGTCTTTATAGTCTAATCAGGTGTGACATTTTCTTATGTTGATTTTTTTCTCCATGACAGCGATTTGGGAACAGTGTAGAGAAACCCATTGCTGATGCTGCAAAACTCTCCTGGGTGTTTCTAAGAGCAGGGGAGTCAGGAGTTCCTGGTGCCTTAATCACCGTGATGCTTTATACCATCCTGTTCATGATCTCATCAACAGTGTTGTACCTGTATTTTTTAAGGTATGTCTCTTAATCTCATTATTCCCTTAGGAGCTTAGTTTCGAGCCTCTTCTCCTGTTAAATAAAATAAGGTGACATCAGAAAAGATGTATAAGTGTCACACACCCAGAGCTCAGAACAGCAGATAATCAAGGAGGGGTTTGCTCCTGCTTAACTTTTAATGTACTGGGATTGCTGGGCACAGCAAGTCAGAGACAGAGTCACTTATTTTCTCAACATGAGCACAGTTGATACCATGATTTTTCATAGATTCTAAAAAACCTCTGCTTCTTTGGCTTCAGGCAATTGTGCCTGTGAAAGGGCTTAAGCTGTAAAGTGTGTGTACCTTTCATTTAGATACTTTGGAAGATGTTGTCTTTAGCCTTACAAGAAGGGGTTTTGTGAGAAATAGGAAGAATTTCAGAAAGCTACATATGATACGAAGTGCAAAATCTCTGAATCTGCAGTGTCTTCTGGAGCCTTATAGCCTTTTGATGATATAGGATTTTTGGCTCGTTGTGACTGAGTCATCATGACAAGATTTAATCCAAATAATGTTTTCATGACATTAGCCCATTTTCTAAACTCAGTTCCTCATGAATTTGACCAACTACCTTTCTTGCCAGCTTTCTAGTAGACACCATTAGCTGTGCAGTCAAAAGGAACAGGTGTGGGACACGGAAAATTAATTAGATAGAATGTCTAATATATTGAATGAAAAAGCATTTTTTTTTCCCTAAGTGAGTTGTTTATAATGCAGTAGGAATTTTGTGCTGGCCCTCAATTCACCCAGTGATGAATATTGGCAAGCACCAATAAAAAGCCACATGCAAAGGCAAGGTGCAGGCAGGCGTAAGAAGAGAAAAGCTCAGCATAGGCCCTCCACCTGACTGTGTAATTCCTCAGTCCTCCTTCCACAAACTCTGTTGCAGCAGGCAGAAAAAGATAAATGGCAATCTAAATTTCTGCAAAGTATTTCAGAGCTCCTACATTCCTGGGAGCTGTACACAACTCCAATGTACTGGTAGTCTAGTTAATTAGTTTTTGAGACGTTAATGCCTTCTTAATCATTGACTTAATAGTTTTGAATAGCTTCATAAGTTTTAGCTGTTGTCGTTTATTACTCAGGAAAATTAATTTAAATTAAAACATTTGTAAGGCAGGTTTTTATGAGAATATTACCAACATCTTCATTGTCTGGGGAACAGGTGCAAGATCATCAAAGGTATCTTTCCTTCTGGATCAATTTTCTTGTAATGTTTTCCAATAAAGGGGTGGGGGAATAATGTTACTAGGGGGAAAAAAAGTTGTCTTAGCACACATTTTAAAAATGATTCATAGCAAAATACGAAAGCAAAGGGAAGCTAACAAAATCTGTTACAGTGCATAAGGTCTTTGAAGTTCTTTGCTTGATAACAAAAGGAAACATTTTGAATTCTGGAGTCTGTGAAGAGTAATGCTGTATAATGATACAATCTGCAATTGTATGAACTTTCCCTTCCTCGAACATCTACAGCCAACACCATTAGAAACTCAGACCTAGACAGGACTCCTGTGCAGCACACTGCCAGCCCAATGATGATAGAATTAAAACCTTTTAAAATGTTTTTAAGGACAACATCTCTGCATTTCATAACACTGTTTCCTCGATATTGACATAACAGCATTTGTTTTCAAGAGAGAATAGTATTAGTGCCAAGGCAGTAGCATCCCTTTGTGTGAATATTTCTGAAATGCCATATCTCAAATATTTTCAAGTGGAATGTTGCTCAGCACAGAAAACACGTATTTTTAAATAAGAATCCACCACATTTTTCTCTTGTAAGGTAAACTGGTATAAATATTGAGGGATACATTCTGTGTCTTAAGACCCCAATCCACAGGAGAGGCTTTGGCTGTTGGATGGAGGAGGTGGTGCTGTTTGTTGGAATTACTCAGCAGTTTGCCATTACACTAAAGTGTTTGACAGTGTGTAAAAGAAGGGATAAGAACACTGAACCCACAAGACCACCAAAGCAAGCAGGGGAGGTGTCTGTTTCTGCCACAGCTTCATGGAAAGCTTCAGAAAGCTCCATGGCAGCATTGGTGAACAGCCAGGAAGCTAATGAAATAATGGGCAGGAGTTAAGTAGCAGTAGGCATCTATTTGTGTTTTTATAAACCAAAATTTATCAATAAGTCTGGTTCCCCTTGTGTGTCTTGGAAGTCTGTAGTACAACTAGCATGGAGAGACATTCTAATTGCTTTTTGTAACAATGAAGTGGCACTGGTTGCAATTCCTTCCTTTTGATTCTGCTAGACACTAGAAACAGACAGGAGTTTGTTGGTGAAATGTTTTCTGCACTGTGAGAAAATGCAGACCTGTCTGAACAAAAAGTGTCTGGTAGAAAGCATCAGAATTTCATGGTATTGAAAGGTTTTTCAGGGCAAAGCTTCAAAAAATCTACATTTTTCAGTGTCAACAGCAAAACTGGTTTTGTATTTTCAATGGTGGTTTTCCAAAAGAGGATGAGAAAGGCTCAAGCTAAGATGTAATAAATTGTTTTAAACAACTAAAACTGCCTTTTAATTTTTGGTTTTGGTGTAGTTCTTTGAAAAGCCCATTTTTAATCAGACTCTGGGTAGGAAATAATTTCGATGTTTTCTGTTCTTTCTGATAGGTAAATAAATGAACTTGTGGACTATTATACTGGTTCTCATATGTCTAGAAAACATAATCTGTGTTTTGTTCTTTTTATTGTATTAGCAATAAAAATAACTACATTCATGCTTATAACAAGGTATGTTAAGGTATAAGAAGTGTTTTATTAGTTTTCATGCCAAAGAAAAGAAATTAAAGCAGGTAACAAGAGCAGGCTGAATACTTCTGGACAAAAGGAACAAAGATGAAAGACAGGCTTCATGATTCTTAATTAATTCAAAGTTAATTATATTGTTTATAACCATGTGCTTAAAACCTTCATATAGAAAATGTTTATGGCAGCAAATAGACAGTAATTTAACTGCATTAAATTTTACTTAATTTGAAATAAGAATGTTGCATTAAGTGAGCTTAAATAAATGGCAAGGTCTTTCTCTTGTTTAGCAAGACAAGTGGCAAGCCATTTAAATTGCTGACCTCGAATGTCAAACACAAACACCATGGAATAATTTTGCTTCAACATGATCAGAAGGTCAGAAAGTCCACCAGCTTAATTGCTAGTTTTTCAACCAAGCACTAGGTAATTCTAAATTATGAGTCAATTCTTGCAAAAATATACCTGTGGTATTGAAAGAATATCTGATGTAGATCCAGAGATGAAGAGAAAAACTTTTTCTTTAAAGATACGGTGGAGTTTATAAATTACTACATAAAAGGTACTAGTTATTTATAAAAAAATAATCTCTTATGTCATGTGTATTAAGCTACTTTAGTATCCTACTCTGCTTTAGCACTGATTTACATTTCACACTTTAGAGCATTTTCTATTATTTCTTGATTGCCAGTTTGTTTCTATTCCCAGACTACCTACATCCTGATTAGATGATCTTCCACCTGCTCTCTCCTTTTGATAAGAGAATCCCAAAATGACATCTTGCAAACTACAGCAAATTTAGGGCTGCAGCTTCAAAAAGGAATGTTTCAAAAAATAAGGGTGAGGAAAAAAGTACAGAGAGAACCTTGCAGCAAAGCCTGAGATATAAATTCCTAATCTGATGTTGAGTCAGGCTGCCAGATTTTGGGATCAGAATAGCTACTTCATCACAGAAACTCTTGGATATGGTGCTTGACTCTAGGTACACATTCCCCTTTGAAGGGAGAGCTAAAGTTCCTCCCGAGATCAAGTTGAAAAATTGTCTGTTGGTGCATCCCTTATTTCTGTTCCACATTAAATCTCAGTTGTGGGCAAAATTGTACTGAGCAACTTATTGAGTGGGCTGCTCTGCACTTTCTGTGAGCGCTCTAAGGTGTGATGTAGAGCTGATGTAACTGTGAACTTCATTCTGGTTTAGCTGAACAACCTTCTGCCTCTGCCAGGCAGCTTGTTCACCACATACATGCCAATGCAAGGCCCAAGGATAAGGACCAGCCACAAGAACTGTCACTGGTGCTGCTCTCACCTGCCAAGAAATGAAAGACCTAAACAGCCCCACGCAAATCCAGGCATTTTGTTGGTTGCAGTGCCACAGCAGTCCATGCACTTCTCATGATTTGCCCAGCCAGTCTCTGGGAAGGATGAAAATATTGAAATTGATGCCAAGAAACAGCTGGATTGGAGTAAAGTATTGTCTTGGAAAAGGGTACAAAAGAAAAGACCTCAGTTCAATATCCAAAACTTAGATTTTCTGATTTTACTTTCTGAACCCCTGTTTTTGGAATAAAAGTAGAATAAGAGATTAATTGAAGAGGATCCATTTGGATGAAACAGCAGTGTTGTGATGTTTTTAAGTTCATTTTAGGCCAAAGATGTGACACCAGTCTTTTCCAAAAGCCCCATAATATTTCTTGGTTTCACCTACATCAAGAAATGCCACACAGCAAGCCTTTCTTGTGGTAGAAAATTTTACTGCGTAGTGCTCAGTCAATTCCTTACCACAGAACAGAAATGTCATAGAAAAATAAAGCCAACGAATGAAATTAACTTTTCTAGGATCAAGAGAAGTTTAGATTGTATAGGCTTCAGGCTTGGCCTTGAAACAAGAGGGTGAGTGGTTCCCTTCTATATGATGTGGTTTGCTCATTATTGAACCCTGGCACAGCAGGACTTCCATTCATGTCTAACTGTGCTACTGGAGCTAGTTACCCAGCCCAGTGCTAAAGACAGACATTAGACATTTCTGAAGGCAAGGAAGATCAGGATCTTTTGAGGAAGTCAAAATCTTAAATAATTAAATTTCTGCTTACATTTATGTGATTTGATGCAGGTACTGTAAATTCTCCATAGGGCTGGGGAGGGCTGTGTGTTGGAGAACTTGTGGGAAAGAAGCTTCTTACTCGTAGGCAGAGACCATGGTCATGAAGGGAAAACCAAAACAGAAGTCTATAAAATAATGATTTTTTTCCTTTTTTTTTTTTTTTTTTTTTTTTAAAAATTAAGAGTCTTTTCAAAGATGAACCAAATATTTCATTTCTATCCTTAGGCTACATAGTGAAGGTTGGCTGTTGGATGTATTTCAACGTATTCATAGTGAGGAAGGCACATTCTTTGTTCCACTGGACTTGGAGGTTTCCAGTCAGGAGCTGAGCTACATTATGAAGAGGGCTGAGCAGTGGAGAGGACTCAATGGTGAAAGACGGATGGTGAGTGGTGAACAGAGTCTCCAAAAAGAGTCTGTGGTCCAGACTAATGGTTTGTATTTCTTAGTGTCATTTAAGAGAATCTAGATATTAGAAAATTATTCTTAGGGTGCTTCATTGAATGGAGAAGCAAAGAAGCAGCATGTTCAGGAGAATTTTGTGACATTGCATGTGCATTGCCTGAGCATCCTGAGGGGTTACAATCTGCTTAGTAACCAAAGGCTTAGAGGCATCACTGATGTCAAAAATTAGCTGTGCCATCTCATGGTTCTTGACTGGGTTTTAGACACTTACCACTGGTTTAAATGTCAGTATCATCCCAAATAATTTCTCAGCCAGTTCAGCAAACTGAGGATTTCCATGAGCAAGCAGAATTCATTCCTTAAGAGGACATAGGTGAGGCTGCCCTGAGAAGCGGGTGTGAGTTTGGTCAGTCACATATAAAAACCATACTCTTCTCCTTGGCCCTTTTTCTCCAGGATTTCCCAGAAGAGTGGGCTAAGTTGGAAATAAGCAGGGAAAGGTACTCTACTTCCATTATCAAAATAATTCCTCTTTCTTTTCTGTTAAGCCCCTAGCCTCTATTCCTACCTAAAGATCTTAAGCTGTGATGTATAGGAGATACATTCTGTGTTTGCAAAGGGTCCGGTGATGGGGATGCCATCCACAGATGAGGCTTCTGGTCATAATTGCTTTCAAAGAATTGAAAAGAGAAGAAGTAATGTGGTCAGTAGTCTCTGAGGACCATTGTTTTCCTTCTGTGATGGACTTATTCTTCCTTGCTTTCTAGCTTTGCATCAGTGTTATTAATTCCCATAGGACTAATTTACAAACCAGCTCTTGGACAATTGGTAAAGTGCTCATCACTTTGATTTATACATCTGTGAATGCCTCTGTGTACAATGCCTTGTTTGGTAACTCTCCTGCTTCAATGTAAAAAGGAACAGATTCCCGATAGGAAGGAAATTAGTCCTCTTAAGCATGTATGAGTTGTTTTGTTTTTCTTTTTTAAACCTGTGGAACAAGGGACTTAAGATTAGGGTCTGCAGGTTTTTCAAATCTCTATAACTACCTCTGAAAGATCAGCAGTTTATATAAATATATAGCCTCAGTTGTCACTGTTATAAACATCTGCTGCAGCTGCAATTATTTTCCACGGTTTTTTTTCCCCTGTGATGACAGTTTGGACCCTGAAAGGAAAAACTGAATGAAAAAGCAGATATTCAGTAAGCTCAATTTTTGTGGGAAAGTGTAGAGCACCATAAGGCATTTCAGCAGAGGGGAGGGAAAAGGTTTGAAAGAGTGAAGGTGCTTCTACAACCACCTGCCTCAGACATTCCCACTTTTTGTACAGATAGAACTTATTTTGTTTTTCCCAGTAAGTAAAATAACTTTTTTTTTCCACTTCAAAGCTTTCTCCAATAAGTCAAAATATAACCAGTGACAATTGGTTTTTATTATCTTTGTTACAAGTTAAGTAAGGTCAAACAAATAATACATGTAGTGGATCTCATTTTACATGCCAGGACCGCAAATGACATTTGAAAAAAGTGGCAGATAAGGAAACTGCAAACAACTACATTTCTCATTTAAGTACTGAATAAATTTCTAATGATATTTCCAGCATATGATTTCTTGCAGCAGAACAGGAAGGGCTGAATAAGGTGAAAAAAAAAAAAGAAAAACAAAAAAGAAGGGTGGGAGGAAAAGAAGGAAGTGTAGGGGCCAAAGACAAATGGAAAAGAATGGAAAGAAAAATTACTTCTCCCTATACAAATAGTCTGTACCTAAATGGAGGAAACCTGAATGGGTTGTCCACTGCTACAGTAAGACAGAACACTGAAAGGCACGACCCATAGCTATAGACACGTGTAAGTGCCTAGTTTTTCTCCCAGTATGCAGCCTAGTATGCATTAAAGGCCACATTGAAGTGGGAAACCTTAGTCTGAGATCCTTTAAAATGGACCCAGCCTCAGCTGGATCCAGCACCTCAGAGGGTGCAATCGGAATAGGGGGAAGGATCTCAAATTCAATCCTGAATTATTGGTACAAAACACAAATACTGCAAAAAAAGAACCAGTCTTCAAAATCTTGCTTTCTTTTCTTTTTTTTTTCATATTATTTTGATGGAAAAGGGAACCATCAAAGGAAATGTTGTTAGCTCTTTGGGAAATCTAGTTTTTTAATAAAAACTTGCTCCATGCTAGAAATATGTTCCCCACATGGAGCATCTCCCTGCAAGACCGGGAGCTGTATTTGCAGGTTTTTTTCTGCTCCTAGGCATTGCAGATACTGGAAGACTCTTTTTTTCTGCCACAGATTTGCATAAGGTATTTATCTTGTCCCTTTCTTTTTATATGTCTAATTGTACTAAGTAATCAGTATGGAAGACACATCACTAGGTCTTATTGCGTGCATTATTAATGTGTTAATTTTTAAATAAAATACGAAATTAACTGTGAACAATTTTTATAAAGGGAAGCATGAGACTGCCATATCTTACATCACTCCATATAAAAAATATATTTTAAATGGAGGTCATTCAAGTAAATAGTCAGTCAAACCTTCTGGAAAAAATAGGTCTACATTTTTGCAATATTTTCTTGCTATTAACCATGTGCTTCTCATTTTTATTCGCTGGATTAAAAATTGCCCCATAAATGGGTATTTTATAATATGCTTAATTTCCTTTTATTAAATTGATAAATGCAGCAGCAGAGGACACATTTACAATATGATGAGAATTTAAGGTTATTGCATTTTATAATTTTTATATTGTTCAGAGCAGTGATTTGTCATTTGTGGAATGACATCCATGCCATAATTTCAAAGTATTTTCAGTCTTTCTTTTGATAGGAAAAAGGTCACTTTCTGTAGACCAGGAAGACATCAGTCTATTAAACTAATTTGCCTACATGCAAATTTTGTCATTTTTACCTCATTAACTATTTATCATAGAGTAAAAAAATATATATATTCATGAAGGGGCAGCTAACAGCCTGATGGAGCTGGAACTAATATTTTGCAACTCTAATGATTTTTTGCATCCTTAATTAGATAGCATAAGGTTGATATGATTAGGTCAGGATGTAGTGTTTTTCATTAAAATACATTTTAGAAGCTGTATTCATAATCTGCCCTTGCAATTAAATAATGAGCCTATGAGTTTAATATTATCGACCCAATTATTATCCCACGGAAAAGTATACCTTTAATAAATTTGTGCCGTAGGACCTTCATTAGCAACAAAACGAATTATATTTCCAGGTACACAGATTACAGGGCCACAATCACATTTATGTAGGGGTTTGGAAGGCACTGTGTGGGGAGAGCCACTGTAGCCCTGCACCTTACAGAAAGGCCCTTGATTATTCTGGAAGAAGATTTACAACGCCTTTAATGAGGAAAGCTGCAAAGAAGTAAAAATGACACCTACAGAGGCAGGCAGAAAGATTTCTAGAAACAAAGGTGTGCTGAAGCAGTGTGTTCTAGGCACCAGTGCTAGGAGGAAGCCTGGGCTCCCATTCCTCCATTCCTGTTACAAACGGGGAGGCAGAGCTGAATATTTGCTGATCTTTTTTTAGAGACAGTCACGTCTTAAATGTGTGTCAGGTTCTAGAATCAGTAAAATCAGGACTGGTGGCAGACTGGAATATTTTAATCTGCTATTGTTAGCAGATCAGTGATGAGGTCAGGACCCTGGATTTTAGCCAAGACTTTTCCTTTTTTTCTAGAACTGATAAAAGTGACAATGTCTTTCTATCCTCACCAAGTAATCACTTTTCCAATGCTAAGTAATAGCTTTGAGCCAAAGTATGAGATATTTTTTTTGTCTAAACAAACAAGAATTAAAATTAAAAAAACTACAAAAAGATGGGGGGAAGCATTTCTAATAAAGCAGCTGACCAAAGATGATCTTTTAAGTGGGATCTGTTGTGGCTGGATTGGTTGTTAGGTGTGTGTCAGTTTGGTCATGTCTCAAGCCTCTGAACTGTTTATCAGGTCAATTGCTATTAGCAGGAATAAAAAGGAGCAAATGTGGCCCTTAGAGACTTTTACTGGACTGAGCCTTCAAAGTACCATCCCTGCTTGTAGTGGGAGTTGTTATGTAGTAATATTAAGGATGAGAAAAGTTGTGCAAGTCATAAGCTGAAACAAAACTGTTTGTATACCAACCATAGGCTCAAAATATTGGCACATGAGGTTTTCTCGAAAAAAAAGCAAGGTCTGTAGGCAAGAAGATAATGTGAAACTTGCACTTGAAATAAAGCCTGATGCACTGCAAAATTATTTTAATGAGACTAGGGCTAATTTTCTAATTTTAAAATGATATTATAGCAAACCATAAAAAATTACCCGGCAGTAGATTTTTGAAAGGAAAATATATTTGTAATTATCTTGAACACACAAGATTACTTCAGGGCCTATTATCGACACAATTTTTGGTACCACTTTACACTAATTTGCATTTATTACTCTCAGGCCAACTATTAATATGTTAATAAATAAGTCATTAATACTTGTTATTTAATTGCTATCTATTTATTCCTGTTCAATAATGCATTAATTACTTGTGAATAGTTGAGGGCAAAATCCTGCCCTTGCTAGTGGAGTCAGCACTGGCAGGAGAGGAAGCTGATGCTGGATGTGGCAGCATTGCAAGGGCTGCTGGAGAGCAAGCCTTTTAACTCATTTAGCACAAGGGGGTTAACTTTTGATTTTATCTTAGAGGAGGTTTCATGAGCCTCCAGTTTGTGCTTTAGCAAAGCTGCTGATCACAAATGGAGGCTGATGAAGGCAGGCAGTGCCACACCTGAAATTGCTGCTATTTGTCTCTTATTGTCCCGGTCTTGCTCCAACACTGGAGTTTGGAGTTTGCTTGCACACACAGGATGATGGATAAAGAGAAATGAAGTCATCTGAAAGCCAGGTCTAGAATCAGGAAAAGGTGGCACATAGTGTATAGCGAGAAATGGATATAGGTACATTGCTTTCTTGCTGTTGGATATTGGAAAATGTAGAATCCTCAGCCGTGCTCT